ATTAATATAAAAGTTCTTCAAGACTATTTTTTGTATATGTTGATTGATGTACAAGAATCCCATTTGGCCAATGTTCGATTTGTAGGCCGAGACAAAATTTTGTTTTGCCAAGATCTTCATTTCAAATTCCTTCTTTAAATATTCTGCAATTTTTGTAAGCTCTTCTGGAGTTCCTACAAGATTCAATTCATCAACATATATCGCAACAATTGCAAATCCGGATTCTGATTTCTTAATAAAAATACATGGACAAATTGGATAATTTACATATCCTTCTTTCAATAAATATACACTAAGCCGATTATACCACTTGCATCCGGATTTTTTCAACCTATATAGAGATCTTCATAGTGTGATTGAATAAACACTTTTGGGTTTTGAATTAAATGTTTTTGGCATTTTAAATCCTTTAGGGAGTTTCATATATATATGTATATATATCACTATCTATTGATCCATATAAATATGCAGTAACTATACCCATTAGACGTATATCTAAATTTTCTGTGATTACCAAGCTAATCAAGAATCTGAATGTAATTGCATCCATTATGGGTGAATATGTTTCCTCATAATCAATATCAAGTCTTTGCAAGAAACCTTGCCCAACAAGTCGTGCTTTATATCTTACAATTTCATTTTCCTCGTTGCGTTTTCGAACAAATTCCTATTTTTATCTGACATGCTATATCCCTTCAGGGGTTTGGATTACAAGTCCAAATACTTCATGTTTTATAAGCGAGTTTAACTCTGCTTGTATTGCTTCTTTCCACACAATTTGTGATTCATTGTCATCAGCACTTTTGATAATGTTTTTAACATTACTTTTGGTAATGTCAATAGTAACTTTAAACGAAAACATGTTGTCGACAACAATTTGATTTCTATCCCAACCTTCTCCTGTACTCATGTAATGTCTTAAGATCTCATTATTTTCAGGTATTTTTTCCACTTTAGGGAATAACTCTTTAAGAGATTTCCTTTCTGGAGGTTCTTCTTCAAGAGGTTCATAAGTAGGAGATTTGGATAGACTTACTATAGCCTACTATGTGGTTCTAACCTTTTCAAGGGTGCTTTCATTTATGGGTATGATCTCTCCAGAAGATCCATTTATGATTTCTTCTAGAGTACCAACTGTTTGTTCTTGAGCTTTTCTCTTTCAACAAATTTTGTCTTTTTGCACCGATAGGTCTTCCACACTTCTGACGTGCCTTAGACTCATTTGCTGCTATACCCACTGATTGTCTAATAAGGACATCAATTCTTGCTGGGGTATTAGCTGCTTTGGATAATTTACATATCCTTCTTTCAATAGATATACACTAAGCCGATTATACCACATGCATCCGGATTTTTTCAACCTATATAGAGATCTTCGTAGTGTGATTGAATAAACACTTTTGGGTTTTGAATTAAATGTTTTTGGCATTTTAAATCCTTTAGGGAGTTTCATATATATATATATATATATATATCACTATCTATTGATCCATATAAATATGCAGTAACTATACCCATTAGACGTATATCTAAATTTTCTGTGATTACCAAGCTAATCAAGAATTTGAATGTAATTGCATCCATTATGGGTGAATATGTTTTCTCATAATCAATGGCTTCGTTTGGGAAGTTGTTATTTTAGTAGGCTATTTTAGTTTTTAGCTATTTTAGTAGGCTAAAATTTTTGTGTTTGGGAAGATGATTGGATTTTTTTGTGGCTGGATGTGATGTTTGTGAGAGAAAAAGTGAAATGATTATGGGTTTGATGTGATATTTTGTCTCATTAGCTATTTTAGTCTATTTTGTCTTTTTGTGAATTTTAGCCTAAACTAGGCTATTTTTTTTCTTGCCAAACACCCCCAATATCAAGTCTTTGCAAGAAACCTTGCCCAACAAGTCGTGCTTTATATCTTACAATTTCATTTTCCTCGTTGCATTTTCGAACAAATTCCTATTTTTATCTCACATGCTATATCCCTTCAGGGGTTTGGATTACAAGTCCAAATACTTCATGTTTTATAAGTGAGTTTAACTCTGCTTGTATTGCTTCTTTCCACACAATTTGTGATTCATTGTCATCAGCATTTTTGATAATGTTTTTAACATTACTTTTGGTAATGTCAATAGCAACTTTAAACGAAAACATGTTGTCGACCACAATTTGATTTCTATCCCAACCTTCTCCTGTACTCATGTAATGTCTTAAGATCTCATTATTTTCAGGTATTTTTTCCACTTTAGGGAATAACTCTTTAAGAGATTTCCCTTCTGGAGGTTCTTCTTCAAGAGGTTCATAAGTAGGAGATTTGGATAGACTTACTATAGCCTACTATGTGGTTCTAACCTTTTCAAGGGTGCTTTCATTTATGGGTATGATCTCTCCAGAAGATCCATTTATGATTTCTTCTAGAGTACCAACTGTTTGTTCTTGAGCTTTTCTCTTTCAACAAATTTTGTCTTTTTGCATCGATAGGCCTCCCACACTTCTGACGTGCCTTAGACTCATTTGCTACTATACCCACTGATTGTCTAATAAGAACATCAATTCTTGCTGGGGTATTAGCTGCTAGTATGTAACACTTCGTCACATTTGTTTGTAATACTTTACAAACGAATGATCCTTTGAACTTCTAGTTCACATTGATTAGTACGAGGATCAAGATGAGATAACGTCAAAGTATTCCAAGTGATTTCCTGTCGAGCTTCAGGCTACGACTTGTGTCCCCCTAATGATGGGAAAAATGTTTCATCAAAATGACAGTCTTCAAATTGTGCATTAAACACATCACCAGTCAAAGGTTCTAAATATCTAATGATTGATGGAGAATCAAAACCAATATAAATTCCAAGCATACGTTGTGGACCCATCTTAGTGCACTGTGGAGGTGCAATAATAAGATAAACCGCACAACCAAGCACTCTAAGGTAACTAACATTTGGTGGTTGACCAAATACAATGAATCAAAGATACTACATACATTATAGCATGACTCCATGCTGAAATAGGTAATTTGTTTTTCATAAGCAAAGGTCGAGCAATCAACTTAAGTATCTTAATGAAAAATTAAGCTAAACCATTTTGGATATAAGTGTGTGCAACAAGGTGTTCAATATCAATGCCAATGGACATGCAGTAATTATCAAATGACGCCATATGGCCAAGAAGGCCTGGGATGTCAGCTAAGATGCCACGTGAATGAGTCATGTTGCCGAGGTGATCGTTCTACGGTAATGCCGGAGTACCGAGGTATCCAAATAAGGAACAAGAGTCCTAGAACGGGAGAGGAGCTCAGTCTGGATAAGGATAAGCTCATGAAGAGTTTATCCTTATGTAATCAAGAGTCCCGGATGAGCATTGAGCCTGAGTCCAATAAAGTGAGGCTTTTAGGTGATTAGGTCACTATTGGTTATAAAAATGAGGCACCCTCGTGGATCTGAGGTAAGTTCTTTCTTGTGAGTTTAAGTACTATTTGCTATCTGTGAAAAATAAAGTTTTACTAACTTGATTGTCGGAGTCCCCCCAGATGGATGAACCACAACGGAATTCTCATCTTCTTGTTATAGGTTGTTGGGCTTAATCTATTTTGTCAGTGCTCTCCAGCTGAGTTCCCCATTTGGTTGTGTGGTAAAAAATCAACACCCACAATTTGGCGCCGTCTATGGGAACCTAAGGAGAATAGATGGCCAACGATGGACAGATAGAAAAGATTGGAGACGACATCCACAATGACAGTGAAGAGCATGTGGATCCTAATGCCAAAGAAGAAAGCCGTAATAAGGAAGTACAGGAGCCGAATCTTGGGGAAAAGGACGCTGGCAAGAGCGTAACATCTCAAAGAAGAGAGGCCGAGATGAGTATTACAACGAAAATGACCTCTAGATATGGAAGGATAGATGCTTGAGGAGGGATGGGAAGCTAAAAGGAATGGCAAACAAGTTGGCAAACTTATAATCAGTGGTCAGCTTCATGAGGCAAAACAACGTGATACAACCACCATTCCCATTGCAGGACACACCGGCACCAGTAACCAGAACTGATGCCCAAAAAGAAGGACATAAAACAGTCCCAGTAGACCCATAGCATGACAAGGGACAAGAGCACTCACATCGGCCGTCACGGGATGTTGGGCGAACAGAGTCAATATAAGATGAGTCGCAGAGGACACCATGAACCAAGGGGACCTATATAAAAGAATCTAAGCAGATCCAAGGAAAGGGCCTCTATTTTAATGCAGTAGATGAAGGGAAGTCCAAAAGAGCACACAATTACACTAGGAGCAGTACGCTAAAGAAACTAAAATCTATTGATAGCCAAGCTCCCAGTAAAACGAATAAGGATTTAAGAGACTACCTCTAGAGAAAGAGACTCAACACTGAGATCACATCCATCGTCAAGCTGATGATGCCATTCTCGGTGGAGTTAGACACATTTGAGGCCCTAAAGAGATATAACATGCCGAGGTTTCAAATCTATGACGGTAAGTTTGATCCAAACTTTCATGTTGGTTTGTTTTTAAATTCAATGGCTTTGTGGAGTAGGAATGAGCAGCTGCTAGGCAAGGTATTGCCCTCATTCTTTGGGGAGATAGCATCGGATTGGTTCCATAAGTTGCTGAAAGGAACTGTGAAGAGTTGGGAGGGCCTGGCCGAGATGTTTGTAGCTAGGTTTGTTACGAACAAGTTGCAACCACTGATAGTAGGCTCCTTGCTGGCTTTAAAGATAGGCGATGTCGAAGGCCTCAGGGATTCTGGGTTGTAACTAAGAGTTGGCAGTCGTGTCTTTCAAGAACGGCCTGGATGATAAATGCTTGCTTCGGAAATCACTTGCAAAAACCTTTCCGAAGAGTATGGAAGTGCTCATGGCACGGATTGAGAAGTATGCCAGAGTAGAGGAAGACACACAAAGAGCAAGGACTTCAAAACAAGAAAGGAGAAACGGCTTGTCGAAGCGAGTTCGGGGGAATGCTAGTGTTGATAGGCAGGAAACATAAGCGAGGGCTATGCAGGCAGTCAGTACAGTATTTCGGATCCCAATCTATAAAGTCTTAGAGGGAAATAGGAACCAGCCATACTACAGAACGCTGGAAAGGATCCCTGGCAAGTTCGTGGGTAGTAGCACTGGCAAGCATTGTGCCTACCATAATAAGGCTGGGCACTTGACTCAGGGATACAAGGCTTTTAAGTCACACATGGAGGATTTGGTCAGACAGGGTTACCTAAGAGACCTGGTCGATGAGGTAAAGACAATGGAAGAGCATGCGAGGCTATCCCAGGCACCGGCAACACCACATTCACCACCACCACCGTAGCAAGCAGAGGGACCTTGGGTAATCATTGTGATTCACTCGAAGGCCAACGAGAATAAAGTTCGAGGGAAGGCTCAGAGATTAATGCACCAGCATCATGTATATCAGATTGAGCAAAAGAAACCTAGGACAGATGAATATCAAAGACTGATGATTTCTGTCACTGAGGCCAACTTAGATATAGTGCTTCATCCACACAATGATGCCCTGGTGGTAACTCTGAAGATTGGAGATTACCAGATGAAGTGCATACTGATCGATCAGGGCAGCACTTGTCACATCATGTATGTCAGATGTTACAAGGAGCTTGTCCTCTATTAGGATGATCTAGAGCAATCCAACAGCCCGATAGTTGGATTTAATGGGACGCCGGCATGGCCTTTGGAGCCACGAATCTGCAGGTATAGGCAGGGAGCAAAAAGGTAACAACGGAGTTCAATGTGATAGATACTCCCTTCCAGCACAATATCATTTTGGGTCGACCTTGGTTGCATGTAATGAGGGCTGTTCCCTTCACGTTGCATTAATTGTTGCGATTCTCGACTGATCAGGGGATTGAAGAAGTAAGGAGGGACCAAGTACAGGCAAAAAATTGCTCCATGGCAACAATGAAGTACACTTGTAATGTAAGGGAAGCAGATAGTACAAAGATTGAAAGCGAAGACCACGAGGTCTTAGATGATGTCAGCAAAGAACCTGCCAAGAAGAGTGAAGAACACCGAAAAAGGTTTTGGTGTAGGAAGGAGATGATTAACGATTCTTCCTTCTTGGCTCTAGCTTAGCCGAGGAAGAAGAAAGAGAACTGGAGGCTTTCTTAAGAGAGAGCATAGAGGTGTTTGCTTGGACACTTTATGAGATGCCAGGGATCAGCCCCGAGGTCACCTATCACAGACTTAATGTGGCAGGTCAGCAAAACCAGTCATGCAAAGAGCTAGAAGGCCAACATTAATACATGTGTATGCAGTTAAAGAAGTAGACAAGCTACTAGAGGCACAGGCCATCGGAGAGGTAAATTATCCCACTTGGTTGTCTAATACAATAATGGTGAAGAAAAATAATGGAAAGTGAAGGGTCTGCGTGGACTTCACAAGGAGGGGCATTGAAGCAAGCGTAGATCAGATTAAGGCCATTCTTGACTTGAAAAGCCTGACAACAACCAAGCAAGTGCAGATGTTGACTAGAAGAGCAGCTGCCTTGAACAGGTTCATTAGCTGAAAGTTCAGATAAGTGCAAATAGTTTTTTGGTTTGATGAAGAAGGCCACAAATTTTTTGTAGACAAAAGAATGCGAAGTCACCTTGGCCGACTTGAAAAAAGACTTGGCAACCCTATTGGTGCTGTCGAACCCTATACCAGGAGAAGAATTGTTCCTATACCTGGCAATTTCAGACCACCCTGTAAGTGCCATGGTAATCCAAAAAGAAGAATGAGAGTAGAATGCAGTGTACTATCTCAGCAAGACCCTAGCAAGTGCAAAAACTAGGTACCTGCCTCTGGAGAAATTGACATTGGCCTTGGTAATGGCCTTGAAAAAGTTAAACCACTACTTTCAAGCCCACAGGTGTAGTGTTAACTGAACATCCACTAAAGTCCCTATTGCAGCATGGGGACCTGACAAGCAGAGTAGCTCAATAGGCAGTAGTTCTAGGTCACTATGACTTAGAATTCAGGCCAAGAACAACAATCAAGGGCCAAGTTTTGGCCGACTTTGTGGCAGAATTTTCTCCTGGTGCAATCCCAAGGAGAGCACCGATGAGCCGTAACCTAGGATGTCTAGGAAAGGAAAAGTAAACACGGAACCCCATATTGGCAAAACAGAAGAAGACAGAAGAAAGGCAAAAACCTGTGACATTTACATCGGCGACTCCTTCTGCCTTTTTGTCGATGGCAGCTCAAACCGACAAGGGGCAGGGGCAAGAGTGGTTTTGGTGTCACCAGATAGGCATATGATAGAATAGTCCATCCATTTGGTGTTTAAGGGCTCAAATAATGAAGCAGAGTACGAGGCACTGATTGCTAGCTTGAAATTGGTAACGACTGTGGAAGCCGACGACGTGGTAGTCTTTTGTGACTCCCAACTCATTGTGAATCAAGCAACAGGTGAGTATGTAGCCCAGGATGAGAGGATGATCGCCTATGTCATGGAGGCTGTCAAGTTGCTAACATGTTTTCGAAACTACCAGCTGCTGCAAGTTAGCCGAGATGATAACAGTCATGCCAATTCCTGGCCAACCTTGCCAGTGCAATGAAGTCGGGTAAGGCAACGACAACAAGGGTTGACTATTTGTCAAACCCAAGTATAAAGCCCCTAAAAATAGAGTACAAAGCAATGTATGTGGGGGTGGGTCTAAGCTGGATGGATGCCATAGTTGTGTTCCTTAGAGATGGCAGGCTACCAGCAAACAAAAAAAACAAGTGCACAAGACCAGGTTGATGTCAACTAGGTTCTGTCTATCAACAGAAGGCCATCTGTATAGAAGGTCCTTCACTAGACCCCTTTTGAGATGTGTGCATCCATCCCAGGCTGAGGACTTTTTGTACGAGATCCATGAGGGCGTATTTGGTAGTCATGCTGGAAGCAGATCACTTGCTCGCAGGGCCATATCTGAGAAATACCGGTGGCCCTACATGCGAAAGGATACTGAAGCCTATGTGAGGAAATGTGAGAAGTTTATCTACTATGGCTCTTATGTTTTTCACGAAGTGGGTAGAGGCTGAGCCCTTAACCAAAATCCGAGATGTGGATGTGAAGAATTTCAGCTGGAAAAACATAATCACTAGATTTGGAATCCCAAGAGCCATAGTAGCAGATAATGACACTCAATTCGACAGTAAGTTGATAAAAAACTTCTATGCGAAATACAAGATCAAGAACTATTATTCCACTCCTAGCTTCCCGCAGAGCAATGAGCGAACAGAGGCATCCAACAAGACCATCTTGGATGGAATCAAGAAAAGGCTTGAAGCTGCCAAGGGCAAGTGGATAGAAGAATTACCCAATATCCTATGGGCATATCGGACTATGCTGAGAAGGTCTACTGGAGATTCTCCTTTTGCCATGACATATGGCACTGAAGCAGTCATTCCACTAGAGATCGACATCCCTAGAATCAAAATCGAGGGAGAGGAGAACGGAACAAATGAGGCATTCCTTGCCCAAGATCTTGATCTGATAAAAGAAAGAAGGGAGAGAGCAACAATTCAGTTAGGGGCATACCGGCAGCAGCTTGCTAGGGCATATAACAAAAAGGTCAATCTTAGAGAGTTTTCAGATTGGGGATCTCGTCCTTAGAAAGTTTGTCGGTAATAAGAAGGATCCATGGGAGGGCAAGCTTAGCCCAAACTGGGAAGGACCATATCAAATCATCTCGATCGCCAGCAATGGCGCATACCGACTAGAAAACATTGATGGTAAGAAGTTGCCAAGACCTTAGAAGACAAGCAATTTGAAGTTTTTCTACCATTAATTTTTGTTTTGTTTTTTAGATTTATTTAAAGATTTTATTAGCCAAAGTATTAATAAAATGCTAGCTTGATTTTGTTTTTGTGAAAATGTTGTTGAAACTTGTGCAATAAGACTGAACAGTCTTATGACAATGTTCCCATGGTGAACATGACGAATAACTTAGACTTGCCATGATGGTAGAGTTGAACTAAGTTTACGATGTTTCAATATGAAACATGAGGAATAACTTAGACATGCCATGATGGTAGAGTTGAACTAAGTTGCGATGTTTCAGTATGAAACATGACGAATAACTTAGATTTGCCATTATGGTAGAGTTGAACTAAGTTTGCAATGTTTTGGTATGAAACATGTCGAATGACTTAGACTTGCCATGATGGTAGAGTTAAACTAAGTTCGCGATGTTTTGATATGAAACATAACGAATAAGTTAGACTTGCCATCATGGTAAAGTTAAACTAAGTTTGCGTTGTTTCGGTATGAAACATGTTCAATGACTTAGACTTGCCATGATGGTAGAGTTGAACTAAGTTTGTGATGTTTCGGTATGAAACATGTCGAATAGCTTAGACTTACCATAATGGCAGAGTTGAACTAAGTTTGCAATGTTTCGGCATGAAACATGACAAAATTGGCCATGACTTGGTCAGTTTGGAAGCAAATCCAAGGAGTGTGGCACTCTCGGTGCACTAAGGTTAAGCTTTAAGTGCGTCGTTTGGGCAAGCTAAACATGCTGACCTTGGCCAAGGATGTCTAAGAGAGACTTAGGCAATAACCATGTGACGCATCTTTAATGTGAACATAAAGTGGTACTTAGGTTCATATTAGGGGGCAAGAAGTAGGAATAAACATAACACTTGGAAAATTTTCCAAGTTGAAGTTATCCGAGATCATTGACAAGTGATACTAACTGAGATTAGTCAATCCGAGATGGTAGTACTGTATTGTACCCGAAGTGTAATTGTCTGAGATACCCAGTCAGGTTGTTAGACTTGGAAGGATGAAGTCTTGCCAAAAGACAGTTAGTACAAGTGAAGAGACAACACCTGTAAAAATTTATTGGAAATTATCCATAAGTGTTATTTGGCTGAGATAACTAACAGAAGCGTGGTTATCCGAGATAATTAAGCAGTTCTAAATCCAACTTATAGATGTATCCGAGGTCTGGGGATCCAAGGTGAGGAGCCCAGTTGTCAGATTTGGAAAGATTAGAAAAATTCTAAGTATGAAACAATATGCAAAGCATAAAACAAAGGAAGTAAGCATACATGGAAATCATCCAACACTTAGAAGAAAAAAGAAGATTTGCATTCACAGAGACAACTTGTTCAAAAAAAAAAAAAAAAAAACGGCACATCGACCTGGCATAAAAGATAAACTTGTTCGGTTACAAAAGATGGCACTTCGGCCCCAGAAAATAGAAAATTGTTCAAAACAAAGGATCTAAAAAACAACAAAGTTAAAAAAGGTCTATAAAAAGGGGAAAAAAAATCGTAAGGGTCCTCAGCATCTTTTTCAGACTGTGCTGCCTTGGCAATTGGCATTGTTTCAGCCTCGATGGACAGTTGACCAGACTTTTCGGCAATCTCAGCATCAATCTCTTGAAGAGTCTCATCCAGGCTCTTCTCCGCAGCAAGGACCTCGGTATCAGGTGACATGGTCTTCTTTGGCGAGGTGTTTTTGGAGACCTTTGCCCCGTCATCCTCAATCAGATCCAGGATTTGATCATTTAGAGTAAGGACTTGGTCCTAACAGCAGCTTCCGATTCTTTCTTCAATACCTCAGCCTCGGTCTTTTCCTTGTCCTCGACCTCCTTGTCGTCGGCCTCTTTCCTTGACCTCATCCTCAAATTGATC